TTTATTGTTTTTTTACCGATTTGTCAGTCAGTTTTTCTAGTTTTCCGTTTCTAAAAATATAATTTCTGGCTTACAGATAAATATAGTATTTTTTAGACGTCTCAAACCCTACCACTTGTCTGAAACATGTTTAATTCACAACCGCTTTCATTTCTTCAGAGAGGTGAGAACGAGCATCATCCTTGATCACAAAGAGCAACAACTTTAAGTTTTCTGTTAATGTTCTAGATGCAACATCCTAACACGTTTGTGAAGCCATGCAGGGAATTAATTGCTCAAAGTTTTATTTGCCTATGGCTACACGATCTTAATAGATACACAAGAGATAATGTAAATACTGAAAACATGCTAAATACTCTTTCTACAATCTACAAATCTACAAATCTGCGATGATCATTTAGATTTTTTCGAGCACGTAGCCCAATGGAAAAGTTGCGCATAAATCAAAAAATTATATGTATTATATCACATTCAAAAGATACTTCTATCGTTGATGTTATTAGTGACCAAGATGAAATACACATGATATATGTTCAAAAGAAAAATGATGAAAATCTGATCGAGACTAAGCAAAGAAAAGTCAGATGTTCATTGAATATGATGAATTATATCCAGTTTTAGGTGAAGTACTTAAAAGTCACACCAGTGACGAACAACCGACAGTCGTAAACAAAGGGCTGGTTGAAGAGTACAATGATACAGTAAAATCAGAAACAGCTTTTACACCACCGATAGGTATGTTTAGCTCGAATATATATGAAAATTCTATTCAGAATGTTAGCAAAGAAGCCGTTCCATTTATATGGTCCCAGTTACTCCTTCAAATTTGATTACGAATGTTTCATACGGATGATGCCAAAACTCAAATGATAAATGAATGACGCTTATATTACAAAAACAATGCAATAGAAAAGAGAAAAATTGATAATTTTGAACACGATTATGAGGAACAAGACGCTATTTGGTGGTACATCATAAATTCATTTCCATTTCGTCTTAAGAATAAAGCATTTCGAAGCGACGAAATCGATAAAATATATGTATTTTGATTGTTCATAACTGATCTTTATAAACAATTATTACAGGAGATAGAAACTTAAAATACGAACAATCAATCTTTAAACTCTATATCGAGGAAAGAAACTTTTCTCTACTGATTTATATAGACTAAAGAAGAATATTGGTCAACTTATTCAATAAACGGATTTTTATCAGCTACTTACGATATTAACGTTGCTCTAGCATTTGCAGGATGTGATATTCCCCGTTTAGGATACGAAACAGTACTTTTTGAATTAGAAATTGACACAAAAACTCAAGAAAGAAAGAATGAAAAAAAACAATTCGTTGATATTAGCAAATTTAGTCATTTTACAGAGGAAAAGGAACTTTTATTTGTAATTGGTACAATATGGTGTGTGGAATCTGTTGAAAAAGTCGGCAATATGTGACATATTAAGTTAAAATTGAAAACGGAAGCAGATAAAGCATCAATTTATCTTATTAATCTAATGAATGAAAAAATTTCAGAATCATGCACGTTACTGACATTAGCCAACGTTCTGTTGGAGCTGCGTGAGTTCGACACTGCTGAAAGATTTTATATTAAATTACTTAAAGCAGTTCAAAACTACAAGAAATCTACTAACGTAGCCAAACAAATATTTTCAGAACATCATCCATGGCGTCAAAAGTATGAGAGAAATTGTGCTGTTGTAAAACGTCGTCAAGCATTAAAAGGAAAACAGCATTGCTCAACATGCAAACTTTACATTCATGTTCATCACGAGCTGAACTAGCAAAGATCTGTTAAAATCGATGATACTATCGTACAGAGCGCTTAAGAGGAAATCTATTCAAGTGCTACCTTCCGATTTCGTTTTTTCATATGTCGACCGATAGAGGGTGTATCATTATGTAAGATTTCCGGAAAACTCAGATATTCTCAACATCATTCTACCGTCCATTATGTATCCTAGCAGTTCTACTAACAAGGAAACCTATTCAAGTGATACCTTCTGATTTCGTTCGTTCATACGTTGATCGATAGAGGGTATCGAGCTAGTAAAAGGCCTAAAAGGATTTTCCCCCATGACTATTGAAGACCCGGTTTTCTGTAAAACCAGTTTTTCAGCTACTATAAAAAATAACCGAAACCTTTCTTAATGAGGTATGATTGTACCCGCAAATTTCGGGTTAAAATGAGACATCTCCCAACTCTGCACGATCTTTCTTTGCAAAGTTATAGAATTTACGAGAAAAGCCCTAAGTGTTCGTTCTCAGCTCAAAGCCACAGAAATAATAAGAAATTAATTTAGAGCTTTTCTCGTAGATTTTATAACTTTCCAAAGAAAGATCGTGCAGAGTTAACTACCAACCTCATAGCTCGCTTGAGTATGAAACGTTCCATCCCTTCTCCAAGCGGCACGCTCACCGCGTTGTCGTACTGATTAGCCACTGCCAGATCCAGGTTGTTATCATTGCTGAAATCACCTGATACTACACAAGATGGGAAGCTACCAACCGTATAGCTCGTTTGAGTCTGAAAGCTTCCGTCCCCTTTGCCAAGCAGCACACTGACAGTGTTGTCGTACTGGTTAGCCACTGCCAGATCCAAGTTGTTACCATTGTTGAAATCACCTAATATTACAGAAGACGGACTGGTACCAACCGTATAGTTAATTTGAGTATGAAAGGTTCCATCCCCTTTGCCAAGCAGTGACAGTGTTGGCGCCCCAGTTGGCCACCGCTACGTCTAGGTCTAGGTTGTTATCATTGGTGAAATCACCCGATACTGAAGAAGATGGACTGCTACCAACCATATACGTCATTTGAGTCTGAAAGTTTCCATTCGGTTTGCCAAGCAGCACACTGACAGTGCTGTCGTACTGGTTAGCCACTGCCAGATCCAGGTTGTTATCATTGTTGAAATCACCTGATAGTAGCGAAGATGGGAAGCTACCAACCACATAGTCTGTTTGATTCTGGAAGGTTCCATTCCCGTTGCCAAGAAACACACTGATGGTATTGTCTCCCCCGTTAGCCACTGTCACATCGAGATTTATATCATTGTTGAAATCGCCTGATATTACAGAAGATGGACTGTTACCAACTGTAGATATCATTTGAGTCCGAAAGCCTTCATCCCGTTTGTCAAGCAGCACACTGACGGTACTGTCGTACTGATTAGCCACTGCGAGATCCAGGTTGTTATCATTGTTGAAATCACCTGACAGTAGCGAAGATGGGAAGCTACCAACCACATAGTCTGTTTGAGTCTGGAAGGTCCCATTCCCGTTGCCAAACAGCACACTGACAGTGTACTGGTTAGCCACTGCCAGATCCAGGTTGTCGTCATTGTTGAAATCATCTGATATTAGAGAAGATGGGAAAGTACCAGCCGTAGACAACATTTGAGCCTGAAAGGTCCCATTCCCCGTGCCAAGCAGCACACTGACGGTGTTGTGTACTTGTTGTAGTCATAATTCAAATTCAGTCCAATTTTAAATTGGACTAGTCATAATTCAAATTGGAAGTATGACTGAAGAATATCTAGTCATAATTAAAATTAGAAGTATGACTAGTCATAATTCTGATTGGAATTATGACTGTCTCAGTCATAATTCAAATCCTTTCATTCAACATCATGATTAAAGCTATTATTTATATTGTTTACAAGTTTGGTGGTTTTTCAAGTAAAATCAGATACTCATGCTCTTAGCTTCCCTGTTCAACAGTAAATTGCCATTCTGACGCTACTGGAGCAAGTACTGATCTACTTCACCGCGTAGAGGTGGCATGATGCGAAGCAGTATTTTTTTTGGTGTTTTTGTAATTTTTTTAGAGATATAATAAGCAAATTCTATTATTTAAACAAAACCTTCAGATTAATCCAATTACTTATTCAACAGCCAAGCGTAATCAATATTATGTACATTAATTGGTTAGATAGTCCGCTTGTTCAAAATAGCCTAAATCACATCATACTATATACATCTTAATTAAAGTTTCTTTTTCTTTTAACCTAATATTATGACAAAATTTTAGATGAAACAAAGAGATAAATGAGAAAAAAAATAAGAGAAAAGAAAACCATCATATGACTATTGCATATTTTTACATTGTCCTCGTTTCGAATGGCATTTCGTTGAACACGCAACATTCGATTTTTTGCACGGACAATGTTTAGTAGCACATTGTGATTTACAATCACAAGTAACTCCATTTACAGCACTACGAACATATAATTTACACGCTTCTATAAAAGAAATGTCTTCAAGTTCCTCAACGTCAATTGTCTTTAAATCAGCAGGACAGGCTTCTTTCAAATCAATTAAACTTTCAACTGTGTATGAATTTTGTAACTTACCAAATTTACAAGCTAATCTAAACGTTATATCATCATTTTTCTTTTCTTTTGAAATTATCAAACATGGTAAAAGTTTAGCATCTGTATTCGTTCGATCAACAGTATTAATTGATACACCAACACAATCATTAATATTTAACAATTCCGATTTAGTTTTTAAATGTGCATCATACTCCTCCCGTTTTTTATTTGCAATATTCAAATAACTATCTGTTGCTCGTTTTTGTATGGCACCGTAGTGGTGATTGTAAACCAACAAGAGAGTTAGACGATGATGGCAAATTAAAATCTACGGAAGATGATAAACAAAATGATGAAGGTTGAGAAAGAACATCTGAATGAGAATTTGAAGAAGATAAATCAGTAACAGAATTACAAACAGTATCAACAGCATCATCTGTTAATTTTTTAACAAGGAGATTTATATCACTATCGATATCATCAACTAATTCATTTGAATTTAATGTACAACTTGTTATATCAACAGCTCTTCCATCATCAGCTTCAGCAACAGCTGTTGGTAACTGATCTTCATCCTCAACATTATGTTCTTTAACAATTTTCCAAAAATCTGAATCCGAACGCGGTGGTTGTCCAAACATGACTTCAAATGGTGTTGTTTTTGTCACACTTGATATTCTTGTATTGATTCCATAAACAACCGACAAAAGGCCTTCTGACCAACGATCCGAATTGTTTGTTGACATCCATTTACCCAATGCAACAGTTAAAATACCATTAGCTCGTTCCACGCAGCCTTGTGATTGTGGATGACGTGGACGACCTCGTACAAAACACATTTCCGGAAACAACTATTTCAATTCAATAATGACATTAGCAACAAATTCTTTGCCATTATCGCTATGCAACAAACGTGGAGGACCAAAAACAAAAAACAGCTCTCTCAATTTCGAAGCTACTTCAACCGCTGTTTTATTACGT